AGTTGATCTCAAATTGGTCTTTGCCACACGGGAAAGTTCCACATAAGAGCGCGTGTGAAATTATCAATGATGTCACGATTGCTTTAGTCTTAGCCTCGTTTCAGTGATGAATAAACTGAACATTGCTAGTACATAGCCGAAGCATTCTCGATTCGCTAGTGGAAGGCCTCGAAATTTGTCGGAGAATGATTGTGAACCGAGGTTGGTAATCTTCGGAGGAAGAAGAGGAAGAAGAAAAGAAGTAGAAGAACTAAATTAACTTGTCGAAGTCGCTAGCATACAATGTATACTAATAATGATTTTCAAAACTCGTCGTCCTAAGAAATTTAGATATGATGACATATTCCCTGTTCCTTGTAAATTAAGCAAAATAACACATAACTGCTATAGGTGTGAAATATGATTCTCTTGTCGTATTCATCGTTCTAAGAGACTGAAGAGACTTCCAAAACAAAGGTATTATTTCCTATTTAGTAAAACAGTTTATTATATATCTCAGTCACTAAGCGCGCTGTGACTCTTCAATTTAGCGTGCCGTATTCTGCTGTACGACCCGCTAAAATTTAAAACTGCTTTCAAATTGCACTCGCNAGCGCGTGTGAAATTATCAATGAAGTCACGATTGCTTTAGTCTCGGCCTTGTTTCAGTGATGAATAAACTGAACATTGCTAGTACATAGCCGAAGCATTCTCGATTCGCTCGTGGAAGGCCTCGGAATTTGTCGGAGAATGATTGTGAACCGAGCTTGGTAATCTTCGGAAGAAGAGGAAGAAGAAAAGAAGTAGAAGAACTTTATTAACGTGCCGAAGTCGCTAGCATAATATGTATACTAATAATAATTTTCAAAACTCGTCGTCCTAAGAAATTTAGATATGATGACATATTCCCTGTTCCTTGTAAATTAAACAAAATAACACATAACTGCTATAGATGTGAAATTTGATTCTCTTGTCGTATTCACCGTTCTAAGAGACTGAAGAGACTTCCAAAACAAAGGTATAATTTCCTATTTAGTAAAACAGTTTATTGTATCTCTCCGTCACTAAGCGCGCTGTGACTGTTCAATTTAGCGTGCCGTATTCTGCTGTACGACCCGCTAAAATTTAAAACTGCTTTCAAATTGCACTCGCCTCAAGGCTTGTGCTGTTTTGAGAGGATGTTCAAATATCGCGAGTAGTGTAAATGCTTCATTGCTCTCTTATTTCTACGATTACTTATACATATTTTGTTCGGAGCAATACTAATTTGAAAATTTACAATGGATTGAAAAAGAAGTTTTGGAATGAAAATCCAACTGAAGAGATCTTTTCCAAACTAAATAGATTAATTCCGTTAGTTAGCGATTCATGTTTAGTGTGGTAAGGCCGAGATAGGTATATAAAGTTGAGAAAAGTTTGAAAATATTGTTGTAAGTTCTAAAAATACCTGTCATTTTATAGTTGGTCGAGATTGACTTTTTTTCGACGAAATATCTCGTGGAGGATACTGAAAATAGCATTTCCAAGCCTCCCCCACTCCCCCATTACAAAAACCCTGGCTACGGCCTTGCGCACAAAGATTAAAGACATGGCTATAGGCTGCAAAGTTATGTCGCATTTATTACGACAGATTTCTAATACAAGGAACTCATAGCTGCAGGCTAAAGGTTATTTTCTAGACCGCATGTTAATTTTTTTTTAATACAGATTTGTGACTGCACACAGCCAAAGCTTTTCTCATTACAGCTTTCCAGCTCCAATTAAGCAACGAGATTAAAAGTCAAAGTATTATTTTGTTGGTGGTCTAACTGATCTTGTTAACGTAATCAAAATATTTAGAAAAAAACCGGCTCAATTCCAAGTTGGCGATCACGTGAGTAAGACTCAATTATTCGACTTTTTAAGCAGGAAAATCGTGTCTATTGTTTCCTCCCTGGGTGAATATGTCAAGGCAAAAGAATTTTACGACAAAGCACTTGCGATGAGCATGGAAATTGGCTGCCGAGAGGGAGAAGCAGCATGCTATGGAAACCTAGGAGCAGTATTTTCCTTCCTGCACGAATATGTCAAAAGAAAAGAATATTACGACAAAGAACTAGCGATCAACATGGAAACTGGTAACATAGCGAGAGAAATGGAATGTTACAGACAGCTAGTACATGTGTTTACTGAACTTGGTGAAGATGCTGAGGCTGCAGAATATTATAAAAAAGCATCTGCGATCAAAATCATAATGGAAGATTGTGGTAGGCAACACGAAGCAGACGATTACATCAGCTTAGGAACTATTTCTTATTCTCTTGGTAAATATGGCGATGCAATAAGATCTTATGACAAAGCACCTGCGATCAAAAAGAAAATTGGTGATAGACTGGGAGAAGCAGAATGTCATTCAACGTTAGCTCAAGTGTTTCAAGCCATTAATAATATGGTGAAAGCGAAAGAATGCTGTGAAAAAGCACTTGCGATCGCAACTGAAATTGGTGACAGAGAAATGGAAGGAGTATGTTTTTATGACCTTGGAACAGTGTATGCGTCTCTTGGTGAATGCGTCATGGCCGAAGAATACCTCAAGAAGGCACTTTCAGTAAGCAAAGATATTGGAGACGGTAAAACTGAATTTCACTGCTATTTGTCTCTTACGTTAACGAAGCTATCNAGAAAGAAGCAACATGCTATGGAAACCTAGGAGCAGTGTTTCGCTCTCTAGGTGAATATGTCAAGGCAAAAGAATATTACGACAAAGAACTAGCGATCAGCATGGAAACTGGTAACATAGTGATAGAAATGGAATCTTACAGACAGCTGGTACATATGTTTACTGAACTTGGTGAAGATGCTGAGGCTGCAGAGTATCATAAAAAAGCATCTGCGATCAAAATCACAATGGAAGATTGTGGTAGGCAACACGAAGCAGACGATTACATCAGCTTAGGAACTATTTCTTATTCTCTTGGTAAATATGGCGATGCAATAAGATCTTATGACAAAGCACTTGCGATCAAAAAGAAAATTGGTGACAGAAGGAAAGAAGCAGAATGTCATTCAAGGTTAGCCGATGTGTTTACAGACATTAATAACATGGTGAAAGCGAAAGAATGTCGTGAAAAAGCACTTGCGATCGCAACTGAAATTGGTGACATTCAAATGGAAGGAAGCTGTTTTCTTGGCCTTGGAAGAGTGTATGCGTCTCCTGGTGAATACGTCATGGCCGAAGAATACCTCAAGAAGGCACTTTCAATAAGCAAAGATATTGGAGACGGTAAAACTGAATTTCACTGCTATTTGTCTCTTACGTTAACGAAGCTATCACAACAAAAGTTGGAGGACGCTTTCTCCTACCTGGATCAAAGCACTGGAAAATTCGAAGAACTGAGAGGACTTGTTGGAGACACCGATCTATTTAAGATATCCTTTGCAGACAAGAACGTTTTTCCGTACCACCTGCTCAGTAGCTTGCTTTGT